GGGGGGTGTCGATCGTATTTTGTGCGCATGCATATCTCGCATTTCCCAATGACTTCCTGGATGGACCTCTTCATGCCCCACCAGAAATACTTCCGACGCAATGCCTGCAGCGTCTCATTAACGCCTCGGTGATTGGTTTTCCCCTGGTGATATGCTACTGTGATTGCTTGCTGCTGCTCTTCGTCCTGTACCGTCTCCACAGCATACTTGCACCGGATGAATGTCCTGTCCACGCCTATTCGCTCGGACCTCCACATTCGCTTGATCTTATCCCATACCGTATTGTTTCCTACGTATAGGTAGTGCGTTTTACCCGCTTCCGAGGCATCCCTCAGTGCCGTACAGATTTGTTCTTCGCTGACCCCGGGCTGCGACCAAATGACGCGGATCCTACTTCTCCCGTACCTTCTGAAATCGATCTTCATGATTCCGGTTGTTCGTGTCTTCCAAATCACCTGACGGTGTTTGTCGTTCACGATCTCCTCTATTTCTTCCATCTCCGCTGCCCTTTCTTCCGCTGAGCTCTCCTCTTCTGGGGAATCCCCCCTGTCCTCAATCCCTGCGGTGTCATTTGCCCCTTCGCCCTCGGGAGTCCATTCCCTCAAGAATTGGCGCACGTCCTGCGATGGTCCTCCCCTGTCCTCTTCAACCGCGTTGATCATGATGGCCCTCGAGAGCCAGTCTGCCACCACGTTTTCTTTTCCCGGCTTATACACCACCTCTATGTTGTATTGGCTTAGGATCTCCTTCCATCTTGTGACCCTAGCTGAGGTTTCCTTGAGTTTTCCTACCCACTGGAGGGGTTTGTGGTCGGTATGGACTCGAAATTTTCTCCCGAATACGTATGGCCTGAAATGGTCGATAGCCCATACTATCGCGAGTAGCTCCCTCTCCAAAGCGCTGTACCTTGATTCCGCACCCGTAAGCCGACGGCTCGCGTATGCTATCGGTCGTTCACCCTCACTCCCCCCCTGGGACAAAACGGCCCCTAGCGCGTATTCACTCGCATCAGTGGTTATATTAAAAAGCTTCTCGAAATCCGGGAACGCTAACACCGGCTCCGTCAGCAACCTATTCATACATTTTCGAATGTTATTCTCCATCTCTGGTGTCACCACAATCTTCGCGCCTTTCTTCAACAAATTGTTAATGGGTACCAAATACTCTGCCATCTCGGGTACGAATCTCCGGTAATAATTCAGCGTCCCGAGAAGCCTACGAATCCCCTTGACGTCCCGTGGTACCGCCATCCGCGTGATTGCCTCCACCTTTGCCGCATCCGGTCTGACCCCCTCGCTAGAGATAGTGTGGCCTAAAAAATTGATCCGCGTTTGTCCCAGCAGAGACTTCTCGCTTGACAATTTCAGCCCGAATTGCCGGAGCCTTTCGAATACTGCCCTCAGATGTCCCACGTGCTCGGTTTCCGTTCTGCTAAAAATCAGCAGGTCATCCATGTATACCTGGCATACCGAGTCATCGATGCCCCTCAAAAATTCGTCCATCAGACGCTGAAATGTTATGGGCGCATTCTTCAGACCAAACGGCATCCTGGTGAATTCATAATGCCCCCTTTCAAATGTGAACGCTGTTTTGTGTTGGTCTTCCGGGTGCATCCGTATTTGGTGGTATCCCGCCTTGAGGTCCAGCGTGCTAAAGACCACGGCCCCACTCAACCTATCGAGTATATCCTCGAATCTCGGGATCGGGTACTTCTCGTCTACCGTGTTATCGTTCAATTTACGATAGTCTACTACCACCCTGTATTTTTCCTTATTATCCCCCGGCGCTGCCTTCTTTTTCACCGCCCACAGGGGACTATTGAATGGTGAGGTGCTATCAACTATGATTCCCTGTTCTTTTAGACTATCTAGCTCCTCCCGAATATGCTGTCTCAACGCCTGCGGGTATCTTCTCTCTTTCACGTAAGTTACCCTCTCCTGTTTCAGTGGGATTTCGTGCACCGTCCTCCCTGTTACTCCTAATACCTCACCTTCCCTGAAGAAGATATCCCTAAACTCCTCTTGTAGCAACTTCCTCCAGTCCTCCACTCTGTCCACCGCTCCTATCCGCACCCTTCTTTCTCTCGCGACCCCTATACATCCGAACTTCCTCTTTCCTAACCTAACGCTCCAGACTCCTCTACGATTTCTAATGCTCGCCCCTACCTGACCTAACAAATCGCACCCTACTATGACTTGGTATTCCCGAGTCATGTTCTCCACCACATGCACCGTTAGCTCACCCTCTTTCCCTGTCCACCGATCAAGCCCAATTGTCGCCTCACCCTCTACACTACAGGGACCACCCAGAGTGATCAGCTGGCAGTCACATTTCTGTATCCGGAGTACCCTCTCGCTCCCGCACCCTTTTCCTAACGCCCTTCGAGTCATAATAGTGCTCGAGCTACCCGTGTCCACAAGACACTTTACTCCCCCGTCTACTTCGATAATTGGCAACCAGCATGGCTTACCTCGGATGTTGTTGCATATTGCTGTGCGGTCGCCTCTCTGCCGACACACTCCTCAGATGTCGTCCCGCTTCCTCCTTTCTGCCGCCGCTCGTCGCTGCTCACTCCGTTGGCTGCGCCTACCTCCTTCACCTCCGCTGCTGCCTGGTTCGTCCGTCTCCGTTCCCGACGCTCCTGACTCCTCGGTTGCCTCCTCCGAAGATCCGTCCCGCTGATGTACCCTGGCTCGTCTTTTCATCCTCTGCACATTCACCTCCATGGGTTCGTCCTGAGGTCTCTCCCTCCTGTGAAATATGTATGGGCACTGCCTTGCTATGTGCCCTTCCGTCCCGCACTCGAAGCATCTGGTGCGCGGACATTGCGCTACTAAATGTCCCGGCTTCCCACACCCGTGACATTTTCTCTCTTCCCTCCGGGGCCCATTCCTCGGCCTCGACGACTGTCCCGATCTTCTTTCCCTCGTCGGGGCTTTTTCTCCACTCAGCTGCCTTGTGTCCCTCTTCTTCCAACCTGTCGGGGCTGTCCATGGTCGTCTATCCGTCACTCGGGTCCAACCCGGTTCTTCCACATCCATGCGTGTCTCCTCCTCTCTGGCACTTAGGTCGATCATCTCCTGGGCGCATTCGAGGAACGATCGCTCTCTGGGCAGTCCGTCCCTCTTCCCCGTTTCTTTAGCCAGCTGGACTTTCAATATTGTCGACAGAAACTCCATCCTGGCTTCGACCTCTCCCACGCTCATTGTTTCCCGCATCTTCTCGGTTATGCGATTGTACTTCGCCACGAGTACTCCCGCATATTGCCCCCTTGACTGTCGTTGGGCCCGCCGCTCCCTAAACATTTGGAATATGTCCTCTTCCGGTGTCCACCTACCTCCTCCAAAAGCCTTCTTCAGCCGCTCCTTAATCACCGGCCACGGAGTCTCCTCGTCCGCTTGGATCTGGTTCAGGACGTTCCTCCTTACTCGGCACACAAGAGCTGCTTTAAGTTCTTCCGCGTCCCCTAGGTTCACCAGGTCCTCCGCCACCTTCACCTCGATTCTTGACATAAGACGATCTCCGCCTTTCAAGAAATGGTTGAGCTCGCCTACCTCGCCTCCGAATCGTTCTAGGTCCGCAATGGCCCTCCGTAAGTCCTGCGTGGTTGTTGCTCTTATTTTCATCCATTCCAAGGCATTGGCGTGTGCTTCTGCCAACGTGTCCCTTGGTAATGGAGGGATCTCCTGGATCTGAGGGATCTGTGCTACCTGAGGGACTTGAGGTATCTGAGGTACCTGGGGCGCGATCTGGGGTACCTGATTGATCTGTGGAATATCCTGAGGTTGAGGAATTTCCGGTACGCTTAGTACTCCCGGTCTAATCAATCCTTCTGTCGGCATTTCACCTTTTCCTTAAACACCAAAAAAAAAAATATCTACTTAAAAAAAAATTACTTCCCTGACGTTGTCCCGGGTTTCGGCACCAGTTAAGCGTCGTCGGACTTAAGAAATAAAAAAAAAGAAGGAAAAGGGAAAAGATGTAACATACACGACTTCTGAAATAACACTGCTTTATTCGTTCCATAAGCCTCCTTATATACACTTAGCCTGTTTATTTACATTACCAGATAGTATTAAGGCTGATACCGCCAGTCTCCGGTCTTTATCTTATATATATATATATATATATATATATATATATATTATGACTAACAGCTCATTGTAAAGAGAATGAAATGCTGAACATTTCCCTCGCTTACTGTATGCAGGTCCGACTTCTATTTTCTGAAATCTTTTAATCCATATTTTCAATAAAACTCGTTATAATTTGGTCTTCAACACTATTTTTACCTTTTTCGCCTCTCTAACACGGCGTCGCATAAGGATAAAATTTTCAATATTGGCCCATAACAGAGAGGATGAAAAGCTACAATCATCCTCGCTTACAGTATGCAGGTCCGACTTTTAGTTTCTGAGATATTTTAACTCATATCTTCAAGAAAACTCGTTATCATTTGGTTTTCGAATCTATTTTTTTCTTTTTCGCTTCTCTAATACTGCGTCGCATTAAGATAATATTTTGAATAATGGCCCATATCAGAGAGGATGAAATGCTGAACGATTCCCTCGCTAACAATATGCAGGCCCGATTTTTAGTTTCTGACATATTTTAATCCATTTCTTCCATAAAACTCGTTATCATTTGGTCTTCGACACTATTTTTACTTTTTAGACTCTCTAAGATGGCGTCGCATTAAAATAAAATTTTGAATAATGGACCGTATCAGAGAGGATGAAATGCTGAACACTTCTCCAGTTTACAGTACGCAGGTCCAATTTTTAGTTTTTGATATATTTTAATCCATATGCAAAAACACTTCAATTAGTCGACTCCAGCCGACTTTACCTGAGCGTTACACATCGAATATCTGACGGCTCAATCTAATTCACGCTCCACAAAAAAGCAAAAAACGCGTCTTAAAAAGTTTTCACTTAAAAAATCAATGTCAAGACAAAAATAAAATAGTCTGAATAACAGAGTGCATAGTCGAACGACACCCGGATAATGGACACCTCTACAGAACACCGCAATCTCGTGACGCAGACAAGATCTCTACTCAGTGATCAGCGAGTTGAAAGGAGTAACACTCGCCTCCAGAACCCGAACAGACTGGTCGCTGCTACGAGGTCTCATATAATAGTCGCTCCATCATGCGATGGCTCTTCTGCCTTGTACTCTCCATATTAGGGATCGTCTTCCTTGCGCTGTTGTACCACATCGTCGGATCTGGCCGGGCAGAACCACATCTCAGTGAGTATTTTAATTGCAGTTTAAAAATTGGAACTATTTTGGAATTGATCGGGAAATATTAGCGGACGTAATATACTATGATACATTTTTCTTAATAAAAAATCAATTAACATCCCATATTTTCAAAACTATTATCATTTTTACTTTATATGTACATATAAACGCATGCTATATATGTACTATATAGTAAAGAAAAGTACTGCAATCTTGATAATTTTTGAATCTGTGTTGTCAATGGAAATACACGTTTTGAGGCTCCCTGAGTCCAACTAATCAAGTGCCACAAAATGATCTGTCTGTGTGTGTGTTAGTAATCTAGCTTAAAAACGAAAAGTCGTACGAAACTGATATTACATATTCAAGATATGCCTAGGATGTTACAGTAATTTTTTTGTCAAAACGCATCATGAATTATTAGTTGTACTCGCTGGGGAGCTATTAAAACACCAATCAGAACAATTTTTTTCCGAGATAAATTTTCATCCCTTCGGACTTTTCATTTCAATTTTTTTTGGATTTCAAGATTTCTGTTGAGTTTTTCTAAAGCCTTCCTAAGAGCTCTCAAAATTAATACAATGAACAATTTCCCTAAAGTTGACGAAAGGGCTAACCGGAAGTGCCACTTTATATCGTCGATGCAACACATTTTTTACGATTTTCTCGAAGATAAAAAAAAGGCTCTAATGATTTTTATTGGAGCATTGACAGCTTATAACCAAGCCGAATTAAGGTTTATTTTTCATTTACCGAAACTTTTATCTAAGAATTTAAATAAATACAAGTTAATCTTTTATCGTAAATCTCGAACTTTACTACAAAAAAGTTCTTTAGAACTGTTATTTTAAGACATTTTAGCTAAAACGTTTCAACTCCTGCTTTGAACCTCTTTTTGCATTTGTGATATTCTGTATTTTTTTTTTTTAATCCAAAGTTTACACTCAGCTTCCTTATAAATGGCCTTCATTCATTATATAAAAAAAATAATAATCTAATATCGGAAAATGGTGTGTGTGTGTGTGTGTGTGTGTGTGTCTTTGTGACCAGTCTATCTCGAAAGCCAAACAGTGTAGCAAACTTAAATCTATTATTTAAAGTATTTATATGTAAAGGATGTGAAGTGAAATATCTAAAGAGGTTACAGTAGACATCAACTGATACATAAAAGTTCATATAAACAAAGCAGAAAATTTAATTTATTTCTAACTCTTCTTTTTTTTTTTTTTTTTTGTGGTCACGTTTTTTGTTAAATAGGAAGCGATAGTATTAGTAACTAGCCATAATAAACTAGACAAAATTACCTTCAAATACAGGTAGAGTTTGTCTTTATTTAATAAGAAGAAAAACTTCCTACAGCTGAAAAGGCGAAGAAGGGGGGAAACAAAAAAACAAAACAAATTAACAGCTGTGGATTTCAAATTACAGCTGATTTACATCGGTCCCCTTTAAAAATAAGTTGGTCGGTTCGCTATCTGCCCTTGAGGCCAAGAACGGGCAGGTTATGAAAGATAATAGCTTGTCAGGATCCATTTCGTTCCCATGGTTACAATTACGAATAATGACAATATTACATAACCACGAACGATTGGTCTTGAAAAGACAATTCACAAACCATGCAAAATAACATTTAAAATTCTGATGATCGCATCACACAACTTTCACATACCGCTCTACTTAGGACAGAAATTCTTTGGCACAATTGGACTATAAAAAAAAAGTTTTTAACCGTAATTTCAATGGACCTAAACATTAAAGTACACATTAAGGAATTTCGTTTAGATTTATCTATGCAAAAACTGATTAGGACCATAAAAAAACAAAACACTAACCTTATTTATTATAACGACGGTAGGCAATGAATGCCCCATAACTCCTTCAGCCTATTTGAATCTTATAACTCCAGTCTCTGAGCTCTATATACAAATAGAAATTTGAAGGTACATATTTATTTTATGAATAATTAACGATTGTACAACATCGAAAAAATTATAGAAATTCGATCTCAATTACTATTTACATATATTTAAACTCTCATGTTTCCCTTGTAAAAATTAATAAAATACAGACACAAGCTTTTCAATAAAGCAACGATGGGTCGAAAATTTTAAGGGAAATAATTTAAGCTTTTTTTTTTATTAGTTAAATTTTATTTTTCGTTGATATGTATATATTTATAATTAGTATTATTATTTTGGTGATATTTAATTTAATTTATATTTATTTCTTGTATGTGTGGTGTGAATAAATTCCTATATCACTATTAACTAATCCCCTTAGTTGTGACAAAATTTAATATTATCGGATAAATAAATGTTTATGTATTAGAATTGTAATACCATAATGTTGTCATGTCACAGAGATAAATGTAAATTCATCAAATTGTTTACCCATTCCCTTTTCTTAAATATTACTAAATGTTGTTAAGAAAAAAATCAATGATATAATAATAATACTTTATTTATTCTGGGACGAGACCCTTTAGAATAATCCAAAAAGACAGAAATGTGAGATAATGAGCCTAAAAGACACATAAACAAAAATGCAGAGTAATTAAATAGTCATAATAAAAAAATATATAAGTAACTTTCTAATTTTAATCAGTTAACAATAAAAAATAAAAAGTTGAAAAAAAAACATGAAGTAAAAATAATGAAGAATGACCTCATAATTTATATACATATTTACAGTCGAATCTATTTACAATTTTATGGGGACTGGATGGATAGGAAATCATTGAACAGGCGGGATTTAAAGGTAGGAATGGTTCCATTGGGATGCGGTTAGGCGTGCCCTTATGTACCTATAGAAATCAGAATACCGGGAACGAGTATTTCGGGAACAAACAATGGATTTGAATTGAAGGAGCTCGGAGATGTATGAAGGACGAAGGGATTGGATGACTTGAAAGAGGAAGGATGCCAGGAAATAAATATGCCTAATGACTTAAATATATTTTCGGATTTAAAGTTCAGTAAATGTATTTAATGTTATAAACATATTTTATTCACCCCTGGAATATTTTTATGTTCCAAAATGACCCTCTTCTTTTTTCAGCCTCCAATATTTTCATTTCATCTTCTCTCCTCTTCTTTTCCAAGTTTTTCATACTTCCTCTGGCTTTTCATATCGGTTGTTTCTGTTTGTAGAAGGTAGGAACTTCTCCTTCCACGTTTCGGTATACATTTTTATATTTAAATTTCCAAAGGTATCGACTTTCTTTTGACCATGTATTAAGGCAAAAGTTTATCTTTTCTTCTTAGGTGTGCCGACTTTTCAGTATAAGTTTTCATAAGTTTATAAGCTTCATTGCTGTTCTTCCGAACTTCTGGTGTGGTAGGAGCGAAGTATTACGGCTATAATGACATAATACCTAGACTGAGAAACATCTCCAACGAAATATATGTTATATCTCTTATGTTCCATGAAAGTAGTGCTCAACTGCCTACAGCCGCTCCTATCCGCTGAGGTGAGCAATGTTGAAAAAAGTAAAATAAAGTAAGCTCATCAATTTCAACAACAGATTTCTAAACAATCAATTAACAGCGACAATTTGGCTGCAGTTCAAGGAAACTCAGTACATTTACTATCAACTGTCACGAAGAGTGAGTATGACTCATCTAAATTACCGATTTCATTCTTAGATCACCAGTTATCAACTATTTATATTGTTCCTGAATAGTACGCTCATAGGAAGTTATGAATTCTAGTAATTTTATATATTTACAATGTCGTGTGCATTACAACTTCATTACAAAGGACTCCATCGATCTACTACCAGATATAGTAGAATTCATTTAACAGTGTCCTATTTTGGATTTATAAACTCACCTAAACTGTAAAAGGAATCATCTATTAAAATATTGTAGTGTTTTAGTTTAAAGTAATTTCTAAAAATTAAAAAAAAAAAAAAGCCGGGAAAGCCGATGTGGGAGAATCATTCTAGGGTGACCTCTAACTTAAAATCCAAATTTTAAAAAATAGGTTCATTTTTTCGGAGAAAATACGCGGACGGCGGCAGGAAAAAATTTTTTTATTCGATTTTGGAATTCTACGTATCCTGAAACGTAAAACCTCAAATTTTGAAGGATGGTTAAGTTTTTGAATATTTTGGTCGATTACAATGGTTCATTGCCGAAAATAATAAACCAAAAGTATTTTAAAATCGCGATATCTTTACTACTAATGTTCTGATTTCGATTAAACTTTCTTCGGTTTTTAGGAAATTTAAATACCTATGAAACACCTAATCGCAATATCAACAAAAAAGTGTATACTTTTTGAATTATTCGGAATCTAATTTTACCATTCCTCGTAAAAAATTTTTCCAGCAACTTTTTGTTGAATAATGCCCATATAGATAAATACAACGGGCATCGAGAAGAACACTTTAGCCAAAATTCATTAAAATCGGTACATTCGTTTAAGCGCTACTGTCTGTAGCATCACAAGTTATTTGGCAGCCATCTAGGAAGGAAAAGGCGGATAGCAATGCCAATGAAGAAGAATTATCATCGGGTGACCTAACCGGACAAAAAAAAATTTTATTCAATTTTCGAATTCTACGTATTCTGAAACGAAAAACCCCAAATTTTGAAGGAGGGCTAAGTTTTTGGTAGATTACAATGGTTCATTATTGAAAATAATAAACCAAAATACAAAAAGTATTGAAATAATTCATTTTAGCCAATTAATAAAGCAATTGTATTAGATAAACATTGAATGGAATACAAATCAAATACTGCATAATATAAAACAGCTTAAGAAATTAATTTAATTTATTTAGGGGGAGGTAGATGACGTCTATTCCCGGGGACGGTGAATCTCTAAGGCCGGCATTGATCAGGAAGGACTTGAAACATCTCAATACCAACCTAAGATGGTAATTTTTCATACAGCCGTATATTACATGCTGCATATAGGCATATAATAATAATAATAAGAACAATAATGCTTTATTTATTCTGGGACGAGTCCCTTTAGAATAATACAGAAAGACAAAAATGTGGGCTATAGAGCCTCAGAGATACATAAACAAGAATATGGTTCAATTAAATAGTAAAAAAAATAATAATAATAAAAGAAATTAAAAGTTACTTTCTAATTTAAATCAGTTAAAAATGAAAAATAAACATGAAATAAAAATAATGAAAAACGATCTAATAATTTATATACATATTTACAGTAGTAACTATTTACAATTTTATGAGGACCGGATGAGTAAGAAATGATTAAACAGGCAGGATTTAAAGGTAGGAAGGGTTTTGGATTGACGGGTGTGTGGAGGAATCGAGTTCCATAGGGATGGGGATCGGATAATGAACGATCTGTTCAAAGCAGCGGTTCAGTGGACCCTTATGTATAAATCAGAAGACCGGGAACGAGTATTGCGGTAGCGAACAGAGGATTTGAATTGAAGGAGCTCGGAGATGTATGAAGGACGGTAAGATTGAATGACTTGAAAAGAGGAAGGACGCCAGGAAATTCTTACGATGGTAGGAAGGATAAAGCCATTTCAACTCCGCATGAAAACGAGAAACAGAACCGTCCCTTGGGATCCCGAAGATGAATCGTAATAACAATACATACATATAGTATGTATTCCAAACAATATCACTCCCTCCCCCCATGATCTTATAGTTTCGCCCCCAATAATCTTCATAAGTCAGCGCCTATGCCAGTGTTATCAGATCGAACAAGAAAATCAGTCTCATTACTTAATTTACACATCTCATAGGCCATTGATAAGAAACAAATAATTCTCATTTTTGACCAATACATGTGTAGTTACTTTGAACACTATCGAAGTAGAGACAGTTCAGAGGTCTTCTAACCTAAAGTTAATGTTTTTAAGTTTCTTTTCCTCAGTCCTCATAAGACAACAAAGTTATTTTCGCTGTGACTGTTTTTTTTCTGGATCTATCACTATGAAGTATATTTTCAACCGCGCCAGACATTTAAAATTTATTCCACCAACTTAAGTCGCTTTGTTTAGCTGCCTAGCGATTTGACATGTTGATTATACTTTTTTCTACGATGTATAAATTTAATTTCTAGAGAATAGAAAGCTTCTACTCATCATGAAAGGGGTAACAATAGACCAGACTCACATCAGAACATTAAATCTCAATTGAGGACAAAAGCTGCAGACGTCAAAAGCTACCTTTGCTATGACAAACTGTCATCAGGGAAAGAAGTGGTGATGCAAACAATTTTTTTTATGTAGAAATTTATTGTTTACCATATGCACTTAGGTCAACTCGGTATTATTCCACTCAGTTAAAAGAAATTTCTTAAATGAACGGAGAACAACGCAACTACAGGTAGCGACTATTTGGCATTTGACGAGTTGATTGTTAAGTCTAAAGCACTTTAAATTAGCAGATAGGTATCAAAATAGTTAATAATGAAATAATTTTAATTGGATGCTCTGAATTTTAGCAAGTAGAAAGTATTTATCTCTAGCACCAAAAGTATTTCTAATGAAGCTATATTTAATATTCACAGAACTTAAAGCAACATGCAAACATGGAAATCTCACTGGGATATGTAAAAGTAAAAACTTGTGCCAAAGCAATCTAACAAGTTTCATATTGGAACCTTGCAATGAAGGCGATCCCTCCCTTGTATGCTGCCCCCTTGAAGAAATGGCGCCTCCCAACAGGCTAGTTCTAACAGAAAGTCTTCGCCCTAAACGAACTCCAGGAGAAAAAGCAAACGAAAGTGGGTATAATGTTATTACTGGTTACAAGCAATTATTTTTTTGTTGTATTTTTAATGTTAATTAACAACGAAAAATATTGTGCATATATAGTAATTATGCACTTATTTTCACAAAAATTACTACAAATAAATTTAATGTTGAATAAACAACTAATTAATAAAAATGAAAGTTTCAATTGCTTTACATTTATTACAAAGTATACCTTTATAGTACTTTTTACTCAACGAAAAATTGTCATTGATTTTTTTTTTACATATAAGGAAATGAAAGGAAAAATAAATAATTTTTTAAGTAGGAGATGGCCTAGTAGTGTGTCAGGAAAAAAATTGAATATTGTCGAATTATTTATTCGATTCCCGACGTTTTGGCCCACATTGTAGGTCTCCATCAATAGACCATATCATCATAGATCTGTCATAAAAATGTTTAAGTAACAAATGTGAAACGTTGGACAAGTTAAGATTCTGTCAAAATCAAATATAAAAAGTTTCTAATTTTTTCATTAATAACTTTACAGTGTGTATGATGTATGCAAAGACAGCTCATAAAAATTCTTTTGGCAAAAAAAAAATTACCTATATAGATGCAGAACCGCTTATTGTTGGTTATGGAGGGAAAAATGCGAAGGAGAAAGAGTTTCCACATATGGTAAGCACTACGTTATCTTTTATTTTTAGATAATAATAATATTTAATTAATAATAATAGTAAAATAACATCAATGCATGGCCACAATTAATATATAAAACCCGTTGAAAGCTCAAAAGAAACTGGATAAGGTATCTCCTTTACTAATTATAAATATTACAAAGTGGACCAAATTACTGATTTAGGTTATGGTCATTAAAAAGCAGTGGGTCAGTTGATGCAAAGGTTGAGTTTGCCTATTTTTCAGCGGAATCTCTCTAATTATTCACAGAATACAGTTCAAATGTACATCAGAGCAGTTGGTATTTACTGTTTGATATATTTTTTTTATTTTTAGTTTTTTTTTTTATTCTTTTATGATATGCGGTATTATCACCAAGTTATGTCCATTAAGGTGCCCAATAAGAGGACTCGGTCAGACGGCATTAGTACCCCTTGTGGTTCACCAGCCAAACCCAAGTAAAAAAACCTTCCCTGCCTAAGAGGCCTTCAATGAAACACCTTCAATGAACACTTCAGATCCAGAACCTCAGCTCCAACCAGGTACCTCCTTTCAAGAAATGATTGAAGATCCCCTTTCTTTACTCCAAACCCGTTCCAAGTGCCCAAACCCGCTCCAGTTAACTGAAAACTAGTTCATCAAATCCTTTCTGATAGAATTGTTCACACCCCACCGAACGCCGCTTCTATAATTATTACAGTAAACATTTAAAGCAGGAATTGGCCATCTCAAGTCCCAATCCCCCAACTCCTACCTTACTCCCCTCTCTGTTCATGACAATTCCCTATGGAAGATCACCAACAAAATCCTAAAATCCTGGTTAGATTTAGATAAAGTTTTCTTGTTTTAACATATTTCTCAAATTTATCTTTAATCTTATAACCAGATTATGGTGCTATGTATATGACAAACTAGCGCACCACTTCCTGAACTGTTAAAAAAATAGCTGAATTTTTATTTTATCTGGAGGCTCATTGTGATTTGTTAGATTTCACATATGCCTACACATAAAGCTACTAACTTTGTCCGCATTAGCGTATATATATATATATTCGCTAATGCGGACAAAGTTATTAGCTTTATGTGTAGGCATATGTGAAATCTAACAAATCACAATAAGCCTCCTGATAAAATAAAAATTCAGCTATTTTTTTGAACAGTTCAGGAAGTGGTGCGCGAGTTTGTCATATTGAGTATCACATATGTTTTCATGTTGAGTATCATATATATATATATATATTGTCCTGATAAGAGAACCCCACTTCAGACTCCAGCTGAAGGAGCCAGACTGGACCTAGTAATCACAACTGTTTTATTCATCATCAAAATTACACTCAAGAAGGTAACAATTATTTTGTCCACACGACTAAATGTACCAATCGATATAAAACAATTTTCCCCTTTCCAACGACAGACAATAATTTAACAATTTTTAACATTAATAAAACTAACAACACTCATTTATCAAACACACAAATGCTTTAGCGACATGAGCCGAAGACCGATATGTGATATGTGTAAATGCTTTAGTAACGTGAGTCGAAGATCAATATGTGATAGGTGTAAATGCTTTAGCGACATGAGCCGAAGATCAATATGTGATATGTGTAAATGCTTTAGTAACGTGAGTCAAAGATCAATATGTGATAGATGTAAATGCTTTAGTAACATGAGTCGAAGTGATTCTAGTATAATCACTCTTATTCTCCACACGAGACATTCTATATCCAGTGATATAGTTTATCATACCATTTGCCTATGACTTTGAAAATTTGATAATGATTTCAACACAATTAATAAAGTAAATAAATAAAATTTTTGAAATCTTTTAGGTTCGGATAGGCGACTTTGATAGTAATTTGCTGGAAGTGATTTGGGTGTGTGGTGGCAGTATAGTGAGTCCACAGTTCATTCTTAGTGCAGCCCATTGCCCTGTAACAAAGTGAGTATTTACTTTTAATATCTTTTCCTGGGAACAATTTATGATAACTTTGTTTTTATTAACCATTTTATTCTATTATAACAATAATCAATGAAGGGGACTATTTAGATGGTATTGTAATAGAGTCAAATCAGGAGAATCTCCAAACCAGAGATTTATTCATATTTTAGTTCCAAAACTATTATATTTAATAATAATTAAATTATTTTTAGAGATAATGGTTATGCTATGTTTGGAACAATTCATACTAATGATTCACCTGATAATCATACAGTTCAAATAAGTGAAATCTATATTCATCCTCATTATAATGCTGAGGAAAACAATCATGATATAGCGCTCTTTAAATTGGCGACTCTGCTCAAAAGCAGTGAAATACCAATCTGCCTCGATACTGGAATTTCTGTTTTCAATAGTATGAGAGTGACAGCAACTGGTTTTGGAATCGATAAAGGTAATAAATTGAGAAAGTATTTTTCAGTTTATTTCTGAATAAACAAACATTTTTAATTTTAGATAAAACATTTATTTTTTAGAGATTAATTGTTCAGTTCATGTTAGAAATTAAATTGAGCTCTTAAATAAATCCATCGAGAACAAGCTTTCATCACCTCTTAAATTTTGCTTCACTTTACTCTTTTCCATTTTGAAATCATCCATCCTCTGTCAGTTATTTATAAACCCAACATTTAAAAATTACTTTTTTAGACAAAATCTTTTAGTTCTGTTCTACAATTCACATGGTGATGCCTGTTTCCTTCTTTATTTGTAAATCTAATGATATTGTGATAATTGCACATCAGAAGTAAAAGGATAGGTGTCTGATTTTTCTTTGAAAAGAGTTCTGTGGATATCCTTATATACCGTAAAATGAGGTAACTTTGGGACTGGATGGATAACACCAGGACAGCTGGTAAAATATAATTTCTGGATACACTGTGTAGGTATGTACTGCGCTACTAACCTTGCAGCAGTTTGAGAACCTTAGTTCACCACACTGGATGTGCAGTTAAATTTTAATTATTTCCATTGCTTTTTTCAAAATTCTTGTTTTGATAAAACTTTCGCTTGTTTTTCAACAGTAGTAGTGTGTCGCAAGGTAGTAGTGTAGTACATGCGCTGTCCATGCTGACTGAACCAACACAGTGTATCCACCACGGAATCATCACAAACTAAATTTTACCTGCTGTTCCAAAGTTACCCCATCTTACGGTACTCTTTTTAGTGGAATAAAAGTGATAAATAAAATAGTGAGGACTAAATCTGCAAAGCCTTCAAGATAATTAATGTTATATGGTCTCATGTCCACATATCCATATGATGGTAAATGGAAGTGTGTGAATTGAATACTTTTTTAACTGTTATTTTTGATATTTTTCTGAGTTATTTGTTAAGGCAGATATTGAGATGTCCATTTAAGCGATGAATTTTTTTAAAAATAATATATCCATTGTATAAGTTATTCATTAATCAGTATTTTTTATTCGTTATTTTTGTGAGCCATCATAAAATAATAAATGATCAAACTTTTATTTACTTATTTTTTAAATTATGTTAATGACTAATATATTGTTTGTTATCTCTTTCAATAGAGATATTAACTATTTTGAGATTACACTATCTTGTATCAATTTATCGTAACTTTTTAAAATTATTTGGTATTAGGGTTCAGCATAACAATATCAGAACCACGTTTATTAAATTTTAGATATTGTGAAAACTTCAATTGTGATAACCTATTAATAAACTAAAACATCAAAATCAGTATGATATCCTAATAATTATCTATAGTATTTTCATAAAGAGTATTTCATATTACATAAAAAAGGGTCTATATATCAAAGAAATTCAAAAAGGTGAAATAAATCCATACAGAAATGAGCAATTTTCATTAAGGAAAATCATATCCTTACATCAAGGAATTCTAGAAAAAAAAAAATACACGATTGTCTAATCATCAGCTCAATTGTATTTTCATTAAAAGCAGCTTTAATAACATAATAATACGCCATAATATTGAAGAAAAATCTTAAAAGATAAAATAGATCAATGATCGATTACACAATCTTGATATAAATACTATTTTTGTAAAGAAACACCTCTAATAACACAGTAATGGACCAATTAATCAATAAAATTCAAAAAATTGTATTAAATTGACACATGAATGCGCAAACTTAAAATCAATATTATAGTAATATCATAGGAATCTGAAATGTTTAAATAAATTAATATGTGATATCCTAATTTTAAAATCATAAGTATTTACATGAAAAGCTCCTCTGATTGCAAATAATGAGTATGATCAAAGACATTCGAAAAACCAAAATCAAACAAAACATCATCAAAGAAATTTGAAAATTTAAAATAAATTGATTGAAACAGTTGAGCCATTGTAAAATAATTGATATTTTTATTAATTCTCTTTAGATAATATAACAATGAAAAAATCGAACAAGTTAAATTTCCAAAAACTAGGCCTATTTTTAAAACCCCAAAGAAAATGTAAAATATTTTGTATTGAATAGAGCAAGATTATTCAGTTGCTTTGAATAATCAATTCATAATTCTTTAGTTTAAATGATTGAAATCAATATAAATTTTTTTGTTATTCTAATAACATATGCTCATCTGATACCTACAACCATTAATATATAATACGAGTATGTGCACTATTTATTTTTGGAGGGTCAATATGAAAATTTGTTTCCTGTTCAATAATAGAAAAGTATAAATTATGAACTACGATAGTTTTTCATTTGTTTTTATCACGGGACATGAACTTCAATGATTTTATATGTTTCTTATTAATTTTTCTAAAATCATTGACTTTCTGACAGCATTTTTATACATAATATTACTAATCATAGTATGGAAAAGAAAATAGGTTAGATAAAAATAAAAATTAAAGAGAATGGGAAATATCAGTTATAGTTCGTTCCAACACACAAGAAGGGAGACTATAATAACTATTGAAACCACCAAGGTATCTCATTACTCAGTGTACCTTGCAAGATTTATTCTAAAATCCTGGAAAAGCGGGTAAGGAGAGTCATCGAGACCACCCTTGAAGGGGAATAACACGGAATCAGACCAAAAAGAAGCACAGAAGACCTAATATTTGCAATGGGACAGCTCTCCGACAAAGTCTTGGAAAAAAACAAAGAAGTTTATACCTTATACTTATATCTACTAGGACCTAATGCATGTGTTCAATAGGGTTAGGACGACAGATACCAACCAAAGCTCTGGAATATTAGAATATTAAAACAGGTCTGGCGAGGGCGATACTGAGTTTGTATAAAAAAACACTAGTGAGAACCAACAACCACTAGTCAAGGAATTCAAGAGCATGCAAGAAATAAGGTAGAGCTGTAGTCTTAGTCCACTGCTGTTTATAAAGGTCCTTGATATGGCCTAAAAAGTTAACAATGAGGCCATTTTGGTTGGCTGGGCTACTTAAGAATTAACTATAGTTTACTTCATACTCCTCGCCTATGTTGATGACACATGACAATAATAGAAACATGCAATTCAACCTAAGAATCATATAGAAGAAAGAATTCCAATTGTTAAACATGGAGATTAACACCAGTAAAACTAAAGTAATGAAGATAGGAAGAGAGGAAGAATACTCCGAATAAAAGGAGAGGAGCTGGAACAAGTCACTTACCTCAGATACTTGAGGCACACCTCAAAGATAGAGACTGGATAGGCGAGGAAATCAGAGAGGGAATAAAATTGATTGGGAAATGCTTCCATTGACTTAAGTCTAGTTTTCAAGAAAATAAAGACATTTCTATAAAGGTAAAAAGAAATAGTGCATAAGACAGCATTCACTGCGACTAGTCCTACTGAGCTACACCAGTGAATCCTGGACTCTGCTATCAAGACATAAGAGCCAAATACAAGCAACGGAGATGAGGTACCTGAGGAGTATAGAAGGAAAGACAAGATGGGATAGGGTCAGGAATACGACAATTAGAAGTCACTCGGAAATAAAACCAGTCGTACATATAATTAATGAGAATCAGCTACAGTGGTTTAATCAGTGTTAAATGGATGCAGAGATAAATAATTGCCAAAACTAAGTATGGAATGAGAGTTGAGGGAAGAAGGGCAAGAGGAAAGCCCAGAAATACTTGGGAAGGAGCAGTCCAGGAGTCATTCACATGGAAAGGAAAGGAAACTGAAAGAAGTGTGAACAGCTGGTATAGGGTCGAGACTTTTAGATCACGCTCTACAAGCAGGAACCCCTCACACTATTCTGTGGTAGAAGAGGGCAAGATTAAGAAGAAAAGTAATATATTGTGTACTTAAAACTTTCTTATAATTATTCATTTATTTTCTCTTAAAGTATCTAAAGCACCAATTTCTTAATAATTATAATTCTAAATAGATAAGTTGTCCCAAAATAAATACATACTATTATTATTATATTTTTCACAGAACAAAAAGTAAAAGACGTTCTTCAAAAGATTGAATTAAATATTGTTGATCAAGGCGTATGTGCTACCCAATTCAAACAATCAATTAAGAATGGAGAATTATCATTTCCTGAACATTCTGTTTGTGCATATCATGAAAATAGGGACACATGCCAGGTATGTTATTCTATCATATATAAAAAGTAGCCTCATAAGAGAAAAAGACAGCAGTTTTAAAACTATGCATTCTTATTCTTTCATGTGTCATGTAAAAAAAAAACTTAAAGCCCCAAATGGTGGAAGGCAAGGACTAGTGGAGTGTCATTCAAAGATCATTTTAAACACTTTTTCCTTAAATAATGAGTTTAGTGAAAGTAAACTTCTACCAAATATCCCGTACTTAGAGGGAAATATTTATATGATTAATAGGAAATCTCAAGTGCTACAAAAAAAGTTTAAGTTTTGTGTTTTTAAGTCATGTTTTTTGTTGTGTAGGAAGCAATAACCAAAGAAATATTAAATTTAAGTAATTAATATTCGCTTCAATATAAATTATATCAAATTTCATTTAATTGGAAATAGAGTTTTTTATTGGTAAAACCATTTAAAGAGAACTTTTGTGTGGCTAAAGTATGCTAAGTTCTGTTTTTTAAAAAATCATAAATTATTCGCAATATTTTATTATCATCCTCTAACTATACAAGAGATACCCCAATTTTAGGAACACTTCTTCGTTTAATAAACTTTAAGTCCATATTAATTATGTAAGGAAAAATTTGAGATTCATCTCTAGTTGTATATAAAAATGATGTGATTTTACGTCCTGTCACCTAAAAGCAGAGATGGGTTAATGCTACTCGAGTACTGAGTACAAAGTATTTTACTCAGATACTGAACTTTTTGAGTACCAAAAACTTTAATTACTACTTCAGTTGATGTCAAACGATTTACTTAAGTAGTCATTGAATTCCCAATAGTGATTCAGTTTGAGTAAAATACTTGGTAATCGGTACTCAGAGAAGCATTTCCCCATCTCTGCCTAAAAGTACCATTTTTTTTATATTTAAAATTATTACAATTAATTTTTTTATGATCTGTGATTTATTATAATAAAGATTATTTTTATTATAATAAATCCTAAATCTTATTTTTCTATGATCTGTGAATCTATGATCATTAGAAGCTTAGTGCCCTACCACTGAGCCACTGAGCCATCCCGCTCCTCTAAGTTTATTTTAATGAAATGAAAAAATAATTTTATTCTGGGACTACTGTCCCCTAAGAATAATAACAGAGTTACACCTTTATGGGTCTTAGTCTGACATAGTAATAAAAATACAAAGTGATTTACTGTTAATTGTTATTTCAATTGTGCAATAGATTGAAATTAAACATTGAACAGATGCAAGTAATTTTACATGTTAGGGGAAGTTTCAATGTGGAGTAGGTGTTGGAACAGGAGTTGTTTGAAGGAATTTGTGGACGAGGATTGATGCATGGAGGTAGGAAGTGAGTTCCATAAGGAAGCAGCACGAATGACGAAGGATTTGCTGAAGGAGGAAGTTTTATGGGAGGGAATATATAAATGTATAGGTTGAGATCTAGTATTGAGAGTGTGGATAGAGGATAGAGGCGTAGAGTAAGGAGTTCCAGGATGTAGGGAGGGTTTTTAGTTCTGAAGACTTGGAAAAGGAAAACACCAAGGAGGAATTGTCGTCAGGAAGTAGGATAAAGCCACTTCAACTCGGTGTACCAGAGTGAAACATGTGAACGCCTGTGGATCCCGAAAATGTATCTTATGAAACAATTCATGAGTCTCTTTAGTCTCATTTCTAGCCTGGCAGGTAGCCCTCCATACACCAAACAGTCGTAGTCGAAGTGGGGGAATACAAGGGAGGTTACAAGGAGCTGTCTAGTTTTTAGAGGAATACAATCACGGAATTTTAGGAGTTGTTTAAGGGTAGTTATGAATTTTCGGGTAATTTGGGAGATATGGTTATTCCAGAAGAGGTTCTGGTCAAAGGTTACTCCTAGGTTTTTGACTCTAGGGAAAAAATGGATGGGACGGTTATTGAGGTTAAGTAGAGGAAAGTAAGGAAGGGAGCTGATAAGATGTCTGGACCCGATGATAATAGCCTTGGTTTTATCTGCATTCAGCTTTAATTCATTTATTTCTGCTCATCTGTTGATGCAATCGATGACCTCTTGTAGCCTTCGGGCAGCCTCAGGCATCTCAGAAGGTTGGAATGATTGGTATATTTGGAAATCATTGGCATATAAATGGTAACTGGAGTGTTGAATGGCAACAGGAAGGTCACTAATATAGATAGAGAAAAGGGTCGGTGGGAATGAGGAACCCTGAGGAACACCTTGTGTTAATTGAGGGGTGATGATGGATTTTACCTACATGTTATTAGACTATACCTTTCCCCTACAAATTATTTTCTTTCTAATGTTAATAGTTTCTAGTACCTATTGATATCTGGTCTTTTCTTAGCTCTGATGAAGAATTTTGGGCCGAAAATAAAAATATCATTTATTTATTTTGACTTTTAATTGTTTACTGAACACCCTAACCAACTTCTCTTCAATTTTCGCTATAATCAATCATCAATTCACTATTAAAAATAAAATACTCACATTTTAAATTACAAATATTGCCTAAAAGATCATACTTTAAAATTACTGAAGAGCTCAAAGGGTTTTTATGTAGAAAAATCAATAATTGAAAATGCATGTTTTATTGTTTAAAATAATTTAATTTAATCCTATTTTTCAGGGTGATTCTGGAGGACCACTTCAGGTTCGTCATAGATGGCTTCCAGGCATGTACATTCAAATTGCTATAACATCTATCGGGGTCAACTGCTCTCTGAACGTAAACCTTCCTGGTGTTTATACAAAAGTGTCTCCCTATATAGGATGGATAGAAGACATTGTTTGGCCTGCCTAAGGATCAGTTTTAACATAGAAAGCAGTGTTAAAAAACAATTGATTTCCTTTAACTGATTTGTACATATGTTATTATTTATGTTTCGTGTGATTATTTATGTTATTTGTAATTATTTATTTTATGTGCGATTATTTATGTTTTCTTAGTAGCATATTTATTTAAAATTAAATTTGGTATAATTTTTCGACTAAATCACTTGGTTTAATTCTTCTATTATAATATGAAAGAAAAAAAAGTAAATGGATTTGGGTTGGTTTCCTCCTTATATAAATCTTTTATTATCCGATCCTTATCCTTTTGGAACTCCATCCCTCCCCACATCCGTCGCTCTAATACTCTCCCTACTTTTAAATCCTGTCTATTCAATCACTTTCTTTCCATCCAGTCCCTCTAAAATTGTAAATAGAAACTTCTGTAAATATGTATATATATTATTAGTTTATTTTCAATTATTTTCATCTCATTGTTCTTTCATTTATTTACTTTTTTCTTGATCGATTAAACCTAGAAGATAACTTCTTTTTTTTTTTCCTTTATTCTCTATTATATATATTAGTTAACTTTCTGAATACATGTATATATATCTCAGGCTCGAAAACCCACATTTTTGTCCTTGTTAATTATTCTAAAGGGATTCGTCCCAGAATAAATAACAGATTATTATTATTATATATTCATTGAAAACACCATATATAATCAGAAATAAATTAATAATGAAACTATAAGAGGCAAAAGATTCAAGTGATATCTGGAAAGCTATTTAATAGGGTATATAAAAAAAAAATGAAAAAGATTTTATAAAATTCAAGATTTCAAAGGACTAAATATTTTAATCCTATTTAATACTTACCAATACTTAATAGTCCCTTTAGAGCATTCTCTAAGCTTGTTTAATTCCATTCGACTTCTTCAAAAAAAAACCTTAGTTTAGTCATTTGTTTCAAAGAAGAAACATGACAGTGCCCTATAAAATTCTCATAATTTTAATGCATTACTGGAAAAAAAATTTCACAGCAGCTGAAGCAACTCGTGGAATTATTAAATATGAAGGGAAAGATTTCCTTGACCAGTGTACAGCACAGCGTTGGTTTGAAAAATTTAGCAGTGGAGATACAACGTAAGAAAGGAAGAAGGGCTCCGGGCGACTATTAATGGATATTGATGAGATTCTGCAGGAAGCTGTTGAGTCAAATCCATCCTTGAGAACTCGTGAACTTGCCAGGGAGTGTGTTGTGACAAAAGATTCTGTTAGTGGCCATCTACTCTCCAAGAGGAAGGTGAAAAAGAGCAGTAGTTGGTCCCTCACAAACTTGGTTCCTCAGAAATCAGCTAAGAGGTTAGAAATTTGTGAAAATTTGTCGAGAAACTCTTCTGATACGAGATTCCTGCCTCATTCACCATATACTCCAGACCTCGCACCATCGGACTACTACCTATTTAGATTCATGGCCCACTTTCTTCAAGGAAAAAAATTTGATAGTTTCGTGAAAGTTGAAATTGCAATCCAAGAGTTCCGTGACAGCCATCCCAAAGACTGGTATCAGCCTAGGATCGAGCAATTGGCTAGCAGATGGCTAATGAAGGTAGATAACAATGGATTATACTTTGAGTATTAATTGTATTTTATATGAAAGAAATAATAATACAAATATTTGGTTGAAAAAAAATCTCAATGTTTTTTATACACCCTATTATTATACAGAGAGTGTAGGTTCATTAGCAGACCTCAAATAAAGCCCCAAGAATTGGCTGCCCATTTTAGGGAAAAAAATAATTATTATTAAGGAAACAATTATAATGATTCACAAATGTAAAATTTGAACACTAGAATTATATTTCACGGGCTATGATTTTTTTTTTAAATGCAATTGAAGGATCTTTCCTGAACAAATGCTTCAAGTTTTCAACAGTATATTAGGAAAATTAAAAAATTCTCCAAAGCTTTTCAAGCTTTAAAAAAAGGTTTAAATAATGTTCATAATTACTGAGGAATATCACATCAAAACGGTATATTAGAAATATTACTGAACAAAATGGGTAATAAAATATTCCGCAATCTACTTATTCTATAGATACAATATACTACAATAGTTCAGTATATTCTAGTCAGTATAAAACTAATAATATTAATTTGCTAGTAATATTAGTTAGAGTATGTGATTTTTAATTTTTCTCCATCTAAAAAATATAATATTATATATCCAAATCACTAAAGTAATAGAGTAATATTAAATTTACTAAATATTTACTTTGGTTAGTTAGTTTGAATGGTTAAATTGGCAATTATAAGGTCAATTGGATACATATAAATGTTTTATTATGAATGGTTATCTTAATTATTTTATAATTAATATTTAATTTTCAATTGAAGTATTCTGAAATTTATTTTTTAACTAAAAATTACCTCTTGAACCAGACTCATAATAATTTTTAATTGAATATGTTACATATTTTCTATTAACAAAATATTTAAATAAGTTAAAATATTATTTAATGGTTGATTAATTTCTTTCTTAAATGTATAACAATATTTATGTATATAAATATATATAATTGCAGCCATTGTAGGTCCTTGGCCTTCACAACAACGCCTCTCAAATCCTCCCTATCCCCGGCCTGGCTTCTCCATAGTCCGATTCTCATCTTCTGCAAATCGTCCTCCAAGTCATCGATCAATCTTAGTCTGGGCCTTCTTCTTCTTCTTTTGCTTCCTGATTAACCATATAATAGTCTTTTCAGGTATCTATCTTCATCCACCCTTTCTACATGCCCAAACCATCTTATACGGCTTGATTTAACATAAGTGACTAAGTCTGGTTCTTTATAAAAGTTCTTGGAGTTCTTTATTATTTCTTTTTTTCCATTGGCCTTTTATACACATTGGCCCAATGATTTATCGAAGGACCGTCCTTTCCCAGATCTTTGCATACCTGTGTCCTGACCCAATGTTTCACCTGCGAAAGTCAAGATAGTATTATAAACCAGTAGCTTTGCCTTCTGGGACAGGTTTCGAAAATGCAATTTAAAAATACATATATTGCACGCAATGCTTGCTTTTATTTCTACTGTGATGTCATTTTTGCCAGTCACTAAGGCTGCACGATATTCGAAACTTCCAGCTTTCTATAAAGTATGGTGGAGCAGTTGATGCTATCCTGTCCTTCCTGTCCATAATTTTTTGGGGTTTTTCCTTATTTATCTTAAGACCCAATAAAAATTACAATCTTTAGTTATTTAACAATAAACATTTTTTATTCTATTAGTTAATCCATTAGTTAATTTATAAATATACTCAATTTATTAAAAAATGAATAAGATATTATATGTTGCGTAGGAAGGAAATTCTGATTGTAAATGAGAAAAAACAAAAATTGTATCTTCAAAAATGTTTATAACAATAGGATATAAAATACATAAGATTACTGTATTTGTTTTTAAAAAATGAATAATAGATATAAATGTCAAAAAACTTTAACTAAATTTTTTTCAAGATTAACCCTCTTTATATCCTCAACTGCTTGGCCTAATATATTTGAAACAGTTCACAAGGAACAGTTCACTCCTACCTAGAATACCACACACTTTTTTAATGTGAACATTGTGAAGAATCCTAGATTTCTTAATGGGGATATTTTCCAACTTAGGAAGAGAAATACCGACCAGCACAAGAAAAAGAAATAATTTTTTGAAGTGAAAACTTCTTTAGGCACATTTTGCACTTTTTTGTGGAGAGTGAATTAGATTGGGCCGTCAGATCTCCGATGTGTAACGCCCAGGTAAAGGCTGGAGTTGACTAATTGAAGTGTTTTTGCATATGGATTAAAATATCTCAAAGACTAAAAATCGGACCAGCATACTGTAAGCGAGGTAAATGTTCATCATTTCATCTTCTTTGTAATGAGCTATTATTCAAAATTGTATATTAACGGGACACTGTGTTAGATAGGAGAAAAGGGAAAAATAGTGCCGAAAACCAAATGATAATGAGTTTTATTGAAGATATGGATTAAAATATCTCAGAAACTAAAAATTGGACCTGTATACTGTAAGCGAGGGAATTGTTCATCATTTCATCCTCACTGTAATGGGCTATATTTATAATTTATATTCCATATTATTAATATCGCCTTGTTGATGTTTTCACTTCTAATCCAGTAAAATTAGGTATTGACCCCAACATTAAAAAAATAAAGATGAAACTTGTCAGAAATTGTTTATTATCCTCTCTATAATAACTGGTCCAAAGTCCCAAATAATCCCGCCTCGGATTTTGATAGGGCGGGGGGAGGAGGAGAAGGGCAGAAAAATTACATTTTTTTTAAAACCAATTAAGCTAATTAAACAAGGAAGTCTACAATGAACAACATCAACTTTGTTGGTTTGAAGCAATTTTTGCTTAAGTGGAAATAAAATTAATATAATCTCATAAATATCTTCGTAATTATTAATTTTATCAAAAAAATGTATAGGGTCATTTTTATAGATATTTCAAAGTACTTTATTATTATACTGAACAATCTTTGCGAAAAATCTCATAGTTTTTGAGATATTCTTAAAAAAACAAAAAAAAAAAAAGCCAGATTTCTGTCATTCCTCCCTTCTCCCCATCAAAACCGGATGCGGGATTCTTTGGGACTTTTTACCAGTTATTATAGAGAGAGTAATAAACAATTTCTGAGAAGTTTCATCTTTATCTTTTTGATGCTGGGGTAAGACTATTGTTCCCTTACTTTACTGGACTATTCTACCAAGTGGTCTAAAGCACACACCTTAGTTTTCTTTTATTTTATTACTTTCCTAACTAAACCAGGTAAGGAAAGTATTGCAATCGGGCCAAATTTCCTATATGCGGTTTTCGACGGATCTATACGTTTCAGAGCCCCCTGAGCCCGAAAAACACATTTTTAGCCATTGGTCTGTCTGTCTGTGCCAAGATTTTCTCGGAAACTACTGAACCAATTTTGTTTCTTCTTTTTTTATTTTGAGGGGTTATGACTACTGATGCCTGTGACAGAAATTCGGTGCTCCATGCGCAATAGCTTGCGCGCAATAAAAGAAAAACATGTTTTTCTATAGACTGTAGCGCAAAAACGGCTCTAACGATTTTAATGAAACTTTCCTTTAATTTTCTAATAATTGTCCTTTCAATTTTCATATATGTACTAAATTCCCGAGAAAATACAGAGAAAAAACTTATAAAGAAAAGCAAAATGTTATGGGGCCTAACTCCCTAAGTATTTATTATACGGTAAAATTTGTAATAAAACTTTTGAAAGGTGATTAAATTACCTACACAACAAAAAAAAAACAAACATCGGAATCGAACCAGTATTAGCGATGATACAGCTTATCCTATTTTTTACACGTTTTAACTTATTACTTTCCTACTTATACTAGGTATGGAAAGTATTGCAATCGGGTCAAATTTCCGATATGGAATTTTCAACATCTATACGTTTCAGAGCCCCCTGAGTTCAGAAAACACATTTTTAGCCATTGGTCTGTCTGTCGGGTTTATATATATTACGGGTT